ACGCGACTCTCTGTTAAATATGCAGCTACAGCCAACAGCTGGTTAGCGTAGCACAAAGACTGTAAATATGCCAAGCAGGAGTTCATTGTGGACGTTTGTGTTTTGCAGACTACTTGGGTTGATTTTCAAATATGCCCCTTGATAAGATTAAATTTTAACTTCTAATGCAGAGGAGTATCAAACATGCATTTTTGATGATTTGGGAATGACTCACTGCCTTACTGTCATTGTGAGCATCCTTGAAACGCCTGCAGCTTTGATAGAATGATACTACTGGACTTGCTGGTTGGGCTATTTCTTGAGATGAAAATAAAATATGACAAAAAACACGCCACCCAAAGTGGTGTTGGGCTGTGAAGGTTATTTCACCATCCACGCTCTGGAATAACATGGATGTAACAGTAACAGATGTTCCAGTCAGCACTGTCCAGGGTGTACTCAAACTCCTGCTCTGTGGCAGCTGGGACGGACTCCAGCACTCCCGCGACCTGGATGGAAGGATGAAAATGGATGAAGATGGATGGATATTCATCACATCTTTTTTAATCATACGAATCAGAAAACCTGAAGCAGCAAGACTTCTGATCGCCATGCAAGTCAACTGACTTTTCTATCACTATTGTTAAGAGCTCTTTTTATAGTATGTGTTTTTCAGAGTATGAAAAGTGAACAGCTTTCATAGAAATAAATCAGGCAATCAGGCAGCTTCCAGTCCTTTAAGAAATCCATAGAAAACGCTTGGGAAAATGTTGCCCCGGACAATATAACTGTAGCAGTTTTACAGTTTTTGTATGGATGCATGCATCCATACAAAAAGCATCATCACTTTTCTTTGCATGTGAAGAACAAACTGGATGCAGAACACTAAGAGGCTAAGCTGCAACCAAATGATTTGAGCCTCAGTGACAGTTATGGAGAATTACAGCGGCACACCTTGGGCCTTATATGCTAATCTATGTGTGTCTGATGGAGATGAATGGTGATTGTATTATGGTGTATTCTCCTCCGTAGAGAGTGTTAAACGATGTGATGATGACATGCAGCGTAAATCTGCCACGACCGAGTGCCGTGTGTGTGGCTTTTTTGTGTGTGTGTTTTCCTCTTTGGCATGCAGAGGCCAGCACAGCAGTAATTAATGACTAGCTGCTAATGGTGCTGTGTGATCCTACATGGTAATGAGAAAGTATTGTATGAGGCCAGGCATGACAATCAGTTCAGCAATGAGAAAACATTGCGGTGCACAGGTGAGAGCCTCAATCACACAGGCCTGGGGAGGACAAATCAAAGGGATTTATTTGTGGTCTTTTCTAAAATAGAAACACACACACACACATTTGGGTGTCTGCACGAGCGGCATAGTAAATCTGAACCGATGAAGTTGGCTGCACCTGCTCTTCTGTTTCATGGCTGTGTGCTTTTTATTGTAGCCATATATTGAGATAAAGGGTAATTGTAAGATCTGACACAGATTCACGAAACAGTTATGCAAATGCGCCCGACTAGAAATTAAATATCCTTTTAAAGAAACATGATATTACGGCGCCGCACTCCAGCAGTCACTGGAGCTTTGATAAAGAAAAACAGTTTTCTCCTCTGTTTGAATTGCAGTTGGTAATTGTTTGAGGCACAGTACTGTATCTGACTGGCTCAGCAGGCAACAAGGCAAACACGGAGTGCTTTCAATAATGTGCAACTTATGGCCGTGTGTGTCAGCCAAGGAGCTTTTACTGTCATCAGTTTGCACGTTACAATAACCTCATCATGGTATTTTCTGTCGTGGCATCATTCAAGTTAAATGCTCCTGCAGCCCCAGTTGAACTAATGAAAATGCCTTCTGCTTCCTGTTCACTTCCACAAAACAGCCGTCTGCAAATGTTAACTATTACTGTCAATACAGGATGAACCAATTGGGGATATTGTGACAAAACGTCTGTTTCTCTGCTTATTACCATATTCATCTACAATACCGTATTAATTTCCACACCAAAAGAGCCCTCACCATTGCTGGGTGCAACCTGAATAGAGAATAATAAATCCAGGATGCCAAGAGAAAATTGTGCAGCACAGTGCAGCACATTAGTGATGTTGCTTTTTACAAACCTCAGTTAGATAGTTTCAAAACACTTGTCAGAAAGAATGAGCAGAAACAGTAGATCCGTGTGTTTATGTTTTTTAAACCGTAACAGGCAGATCCTGTTGGTTTGGCTGACAAATGTCAGCCCTGTGTACACAGACACTTCCACACTTTGTCCAGCAGTCAGAAAATCAGTCATAGCTGCTATTTACAGATGCATCTAATCGATGATAATGAGCTAATGTTTTGTCAAGGAGACAATTGATCAAATTCCCTATATGACAGTGTGTTTGACAGCACTATACAGTGTGTGTGTATACGTGCTTTCATGATTTAGCTATTGTTTTATAAATTAGCTCAAGCGGTACAGTTCAGATTTATGTATAGCCACACGCTGCGTATCATTTTCCATGCATCTTAAAAGGAAGAAAAACTCTCTCTGTAAGAAATGTATTCTGTTAAATTATGGAAAAGTGCTGGCAGCTAGATTTGACAGTATCAAAAAATTGTACTTATTGTGAAATAAAAAACAAAACAGTTTCTTACTGTAATAATTATAACACTAGAGAGCTACAGAGAATATGAACCTTACAGTATAACGCCACAGCTATTTGTTTGGCATTATATTTTCATCAAACAGATTATCACTGTGCTCAGATGACTTAATCAACTGGTCATGAGGGAAAAATGTCTATTAATGAGCCAGTTGTGAGTTGTTGGCGGAGATTACTGGCAGTTGTTTGTGAAGAGGTACAAACCCCCCAAAAATTGTGACACTGTGTAAGTTGTGAATATAAACAGAATGTAGTAATTTGCAGTTCTCGTGAACACATATTTGATTAAAACTAGATTGTGGAAAACATATCAAAGTGAGAAAATGTGCCATGTTAAGAAAAAGCTTGTTTAGCTTATTTTCTTTTGAATTTGATTGCAAAAAAAGAAAAAAAGTGGAATGAGCCAACAGAAGGCTGGTAAGTAAGAAAGTTAGTGGTGCTAAAAGGAAACTCTTTGCAGCTAATTAGATTAACTGGTAACAGGTCAGTGTGGGTGTAAGTGAAAGACGCATAAGTGATTATGCTCTCAGTTTGTGCAATAGCTTGCTGTTAATATAAATGGAAAGATTGAGGAGAAGAAGAACATATAATTAACATTTATCAGAAAAGCTGGGAAATGACTAGGTTACAGTGATTTAGTAAATTAAAAATAATTTACAATAAGGAGTTTTGAGTCGTTGTCTTTGTGTCTGTCCTTGTGGTGATTGTTGTTAGACAAAGTGTTCAGCTGCATGTCCAGCTTGTAGTGCAGATTGTGATTCATTCAGTATCCAAATCCATTCACCAGAGACACTGTCATGTTTATCTGCTGATGGAGGAATCCAAATATTATGCTGATTATAACTGCATTTAAACAACAACAGCAAGGATTTTCCTCACGGCACGTGGCCATCCTGTGCTGTTTGGTTGAAACAACATTATGTCCTTCATGTTGGACATGTTTTGTCATCCACTTTGAAACATTTTTTTTTATTTTAACAGATGGGAAGTCTATTTTTGACTAATGTCTCTCAAGATGTCACCAATGGTCGGGCAGCAAGTTACTGAGTGCAGTTGTGTCCTTGCAGTGCAGAACTTCAAAAACATGCGTAGTGCCACGTCGGTATTAAATATATGAGACAGGCTCCTTGTTTTAGAGGTATGGAAATTTTTTTAATAATACATTTCTTGAAGACCAGATTGCTCAGTCTGGTATTGTTCTTGCGCAGCTATTACGCCACCGAACCAGACAGCTAATATCACATTCAAATGAAATACTAATTAAGAAGATATACACATCATTACCACCGATGCACCATGGGACTCCAGAGTCATGCTCTGTCTGTCTCCTCCCCTGCATGTTTCTGTCCCCATTTATTACCGGTTGTCTCCTTCGTTTCTTTTTTCTTTTGTTTGCATTCATCCTCACTCTTTTCCTTCTATTTATTTATTTATTTATTTGCTTTCTGCCATCTAAGGAGTTGCTTTCCCATCAGCCCCTCAATCTTTCAATTTTCTGTCATGGAAAAAAGCACTTAAACTTATCGCTCCATCTGTTTATTACATGCCACCTCCAGCTCCTTCCCTTCTCCACCTCCTTGTCTCTCTCTCCTCCTCTCCATCTGTTTATGTGTGTTCCCAATAACCTTTTTACGCATCAAACTCCTCCTTCTAGTGACCTCAGTGTCCTCGGCTAATGCTGTTCCAGTGTCCCAACACTCTGCAAAAGCAAACTTTGGGAATAGCTCCATATTACAGTTTTCAATCAGATGCAGCTGTGGTGTCAGTTTTGGTACACAATGCAGGGGACTGGTTTTCAGTTTCCTGGATAGGAGTCATTTTTAAAACTCTTTTCTTTTACGCTTGACCTGCAATGTCAAGTGGCAGGAATAGAAGCCATGTTTCCACTAACAGGATTGATATCCAAGAAAATAAAAAAGAAACCTTTACCCCCAGGAAAACGGGGTCGAGGGAGAGACACCACCACTGGTTTAGAGTGTAAGACAATATTACATCTGTTGAGGTTGTACATGTGTGTCTGAGAGAGATGAGCTACTTCACAGCTGTGATGATGTTGAGAAACACAGAAATAAGTTTTGAATTTCAATCCCTCAGTAAGTTGTTTCTTGTGTCATTGTGTGCCTTCAGACTGTGGAGGCCTGAGGGGGAACAGGTTATTGATTTCTCCTGACATCAAAGCTAATTTCCTCTTTGGTGATCTGTTAGAGTCACTGTGAGTAACGATTGATTAGAGAAGTACACTGCGCCTCTGCTACTTTCAGCAACAGTATCAGAAAGCGCTGAATCAATTTTAGTAGCAACAAGCTACAATTTGCCATTAATACCATTATGATTCAAATATTTTCTCTCTTCGTTCTCTCTTTTTGTCACAGATCACATTCTTCATGCTGCTGTCTGCAGTTTGTGTGATGCTAAACCTGGCGGGCTCCATCCTCTCTTGCCAGAACGCTCAACTTGTCAACTCTCTGGAAGACTGTCAGCTGGTGAGACCAACTGGACCTTAGCCCATGCATGCTCCAGCTTTGCAGTACACTCCAAAAAAGACATTAATCTTTTAATGTGGCTTTTTGGAGGCTTAAACTTAATAATTGGAAGAAATGATGCAGTGTTTCTGATCTGTACTGATTAGACAGTGAATTGAACCTAGTACTGAACTTGACTCATACAAAATAAAGAAAAAAGCTCTTGTTTTCATAAATAAATTTGTAAAATCAGAGCACACAGACATCAAATCCAATCAAAACTTTGCTGAATAGTATATCTAGCCAGTCTGTCCATAGTTCATATTTACCAAACAGAGCAACCAATCAACATTTTTCATGTCTAGAACTCTACATAACCCCTTGTCACCAGAATGAACACCTGAGTTGACCCACTAGCAGTCAATGATAAGTAATGGATCTTAATATTGATATGTTATCACTAACATTTGTAGGGGTATGCACTAAGGCTGTGAATAAAAGTGGAAACAATATATATGGTCGAAAGGGATCATGAAGAGTGAGTGACTAATAGAAATGTGTTGTCTGCATGGGAGCCTACATCTACGAATGCGAGCACACGATGGGCTGACGGGCAGCGCTTCTGTTCCAAACAGGCTGCAGGACTGAGTCAGCACCGAAAGTCAGCTGAACTATTTGTCTGTTGATGACTAATGGCTCCCAATAAACACATCCATCTCTGCCAGAATCACAGAGAGCTGAAATAAAATAGATAAACAACTCTGAAAGAGAAAGCCAATGTTTTTTCTTTCTTTCTGTTTCACTCCGATAAAGTTGGGAGACATTTTTAAAAAGTGTGGTCAAAACAAACACAACAGACGGTGAGAAACCCCGACTGTAACGGTGCGTTCAAGCATACAGATACATTAAAGGGCCCAAAATACGCCACCAGAAGCGCTTGTCACTTCTTGTTGGAAATTTCCGCTCCCCAAATGTTTTAATGTCAGAATTGTTGGAGCGGCCGTCACCAGCAATATGTGTAACTTTCTCAAACTGTTGTCCTGATGTCTACATCCACTTCATGCTTTGATTGGTCAGCTGGGCAGAGGTGTGAAAGCTGGGAGAACTTCTAACTCAACTCAGTGAATGTCTTGAGGAAAGTTTCTGAAATGTAATTAAAAGTGAAAAATAGATATAACTTTAAAAATTCACATGATATTTAGAGAATAATCCAGCACCAGAACAGTTGTGGTCACACTTTCCAGTTTGTTGCAACTCTTACTTTTCATGAACTACTAGACTGCAGTTTCACCTCTTTGTGACTGCTAAAAATCGGTGGTTGCCCAGGGATTGCAGTAAACTCTTTTCACTTTTGGCAATCAATTGCAAGAAGCTACTGGCATGCAACACCCTCAAACTCTGGGCAGCCACTTTTGATCACTGGTGTCCTTGTGGGAGGCAACCTGTCTCCCAACAATCACTGCATCAGACTCGAATAGCAGTCACTCTCAGACAGACTGGTAAATGTTTAAAAATTATCGCAATCTAATTTATAAACACAGACAGATTGCTAACACACTGCAATCAGTTGGAGTCAGTCTGCAGTGATCAATGCAACTCGTCTGCAACAGGAGACTCAGCGCTCGTTTCATTCTGGTTATATTCCTATAAAATAAAATTAAGGCTGAGGTGAGCGTCTATATCATTTTGCAGTTAAACTGCCAGCATCTACGTCACTATTTGTAGAAGGATTTGTGAATCTAATCTAAGTTTCAGATTTCTGGCAGGACGATGAAATTAAGCAGTTAATGTGAATTTCTGTGTATATAACAGATTTGCAATTTTCACTGATTTAATTGTCATATCAACACATTAATGCAAAGTACCCCCTAATTCCAGATTTGTTGTCTTCTCTCTTCCTGCAGTTTCTTTGCTCCTCTCTGCACCTTAAGCACTCTGAGCTAACTGCTCTGTTAGCCTGTGGTGCCAAGCACTTGACTCACAGGTGTTTCTACAGTTTGTGGCCTGATTAAGTCACTGCACACTGGTGCTGTATTTTAGCCTCGCTGTAGTGTATCTGAATATATCGGAGACATTTGTTCATGCTTTACGTTTTTCGTGTTATGACATTCGGGTGATGGATCTGTCATCTGTAACCACAATCACACTGCATTCACCTGATTTCATTTTTTGTCGTCATTTCTTTTGGCCTTGATAGCAGCCGAGTGAAAATTTGATCTCGTCATATCTCTACCTCGGACATATCTGAATGGAACTATGAATTAGGACTTTTCAAGCTTGAAGTATCTTTAGGTATTTGAGTGAGCTCCCATTTCACAACACAATCAAAACATCATGCAGATTTACATAATGAGATTCCTAGTTGATTTGTTTTTAATTCAATTCATAGTACCAGGGGTTTCTATCTTTTTCATGACTGATGCAGCCCTTGGTGATTCATCTGGCACCCAACCCACTAACCTGAGCGCTTCCACATTATAAGCAGCTTTTGTCCTTATGCAAGTGGGAGCAGCCGACTACACCAACTTCACCGCTTTATGTGGTTCCCCAGAGACCCTCCCACAGTCGTGACTGAAATATTAATGTTCTTCATCTCCTTTCCCCAATGTAATTAACCCATACTTGTTGGGTTCATGTCCTGCTTTCTCTCAATCTGGGACACATAGCAGAGGTATGTTCTACCGCTGTCCCTTACTGGGAAGCTCATCATATCTCACAGTCCTTTGTCTCTTTATGCATGTGCAGGTGCCTTTCTCAATCACAGCGAAATACGTTTTGTGCCTCACACGTGAACTTTGTCATCAAAGTTTTTGATTACACGCCCTGTAACTGAGAATATGTTTTATGTCAGGGGTAAATATGTCGCTCGTCACTCATCTTCAGAAAAAAGTGACATCAGAAAACCAAGCTCAGGCCTGATTTGTGCGTGTATGTGTGTGTGTGACGTGTGTGTGTGTGTGTGCCTGTGTGTTTCCGTGTATGTGGCATGCATGCATGAGTGCGGATGTGTGTTCTCTCCTTCACCCCCCCAGCTCAAGTTTGACAGCGATGGAGTGTGTGTATGCTGCGAGCTACAGAAGCAAAGTTCGAGCTGCAACAGCCTGGGAGAGACGCTGAAGCTAAATCCACTGAGGGACTGCAATACGATACGTATACGTCTCAAGGTGTGTCTGTTTGTATATTGTGACTGGTATATTTTTTTAAAACATTCTGTATGACTGAACTACACTTTACATTTGTCTGGTAGTTGTTTGGCAAAAACCGTCATGGCCAGCTTTAACGACTCAGTGATGTCACATTTTTAGAGACATTTGGGAGGCCAGACTGAGACACAAATCCAAACAGCTGCCTTTTTTTAAAATGCCCATCATTTATTCATTTACTTGCCTTCTTGTGTTTTTGCAATCCAGAGCTGGAAATTGAGGTCTGATTGAACTGTGTCAGGGAGAACTCAGTTTGGATCCATAAACCACCTCCTGGTGCTTGTTTGTCACCTGCAAATGTTGTTTTTCATGATCTTTCCTCTCTATTTTTAGTCATGCTACGTCATGGCTCATGTGACGTCAGTATCATTCAGTGGAGAGCAACACTTCGATCCAGACTGAAAAACTGTTGGATGAAATTTTGGTAGCGTTTTATAATATGGTCTGCATCTAAGAGTGTTTTCCCAATTAAATTAAATGGAATTTCAATGTACTTAATTTGAAAATTTGAAATTACAATGTAATTACACGGTAAGGACAAAAGCCAGACTTGGCTCCATCAGTATAAAGTCACATAGGCCTGCAAATTGTTATGGTATTTATTTTTTTTCTCTGAGCTGGAAAGGGAGAATAGTCCTTATATAATTAATATTGGTAAAAGAAAGGGACATTTGAATAATAGAACATCGCCATGCACATCAGGATAATGAAAATGTAAAACTTAAACTTACTTGCATTATAATATATGTCAGTTTTCATGTAAAATAACCAGAAGGTATGCGCCGCTCGAAATTACTTACAAAATACTTAAAATTATTTACAGAATAATTTGTGTCTGCTAAAATACCCGAGGTTATGCAATGCATAAAAATTACAGTACTTAAATGTACTTACAATATAATTGTTTCGTTGTTTCCTTTATTTTTGTTTTATTCTTCCTTTAACTTCATTCTAGTGAACCTACCTTTAAGTATTTGTAGATAACTAGAATTAACATACCCTGATATTCTTTTAATTACATCGGAGTGAGACCCTTAGATGCAGGTCATGCATATAAACTGTTACCAAAGTTTTGTACAGATATTAATAGTTCCAAGATTGGGAATGTTGCAGTTTTCAGTGAAACATCTCAACAACTTAGGTTAAATTGCTGAGCTTAATATTTTTAGGATGAATCTTCTTTTGTGTCTTTGACCGATGTTTTTGTTTGTGATCGAACAAACCTACAGATATGGTTCCATAGTTAGAATTGTAGCTGGTCAGCATGTTGGTTTTAGAGCTACATCCTCTGAGAGTCACCAGACTAACCTCAGGTTTCAGATTTCTTTTCTTACTGTAGCATTTGCCGTCAGGGAACAATACAAAACAATGCTGGGTTTCTTTCTCAGATTAATTGAGTAGAAAGCAGCAAAAGCATTTGTCTTTCCCCAATAGGCAGACCTCTTAGTATGCAGCAAGTATCTACTCTGGGCTGGCTCTAGTTTGCAAGAGTATGACCTCGGTAGATTATCTTGACTCGCAGCATAAGAGGGAATGATATATAATCTGTCCTACTGCGCCGTTATTGCATAACGACAATCATATCCATTCATTTTATATCCTTGATTGATTATAAAACATTGATAACCAAATAAAAGACTTCTCAGGATGAAGCATGCTTATGAAAAGAGGAAAGATCAACTACATTTGTCACTGTAATCATAACTCTTTGGAAGAGATGGAGAATTGGTGCTATAAACCTTTATTAAGTGCCAAAGAAGTCAGATGTATTGAGTTATGTCTGTGAGGAAGCTGTCACACACAAGTCTCCGGCTATTTCAGATGGCTGTTAGACGACTGCTGACTCTAATGAACTCATATAGTGCCTCGATCACTAAACGACACAGTGTCCTGAATTATAAAAGCAGGTGGACTGAGTAAAATTGGTTTCTCATTCGCTTATTAGTTGTTGTTACTCAGCAGTAGCGCTTTTCTTAAAAAAAAACAAGAAAATTAAACCAGCCACCGTTGCTGCCAATGTCTGTCATTCGCTCTGTGCTGGCACATTAATTTCCACCCCATTTTTCTTTTCATTACTCTGCCCGGGGCTATAAATCATCAGTGAGGGGGAGTACTGAGGTAATTTGCGATTTCCTGTAAAGGGGCGGATGTGTAACCTTATTCACTAACCTGATTGACCTGGGGCAAGGTATCTTTCAGAGGTTAAATATCTGCTGAGCAGCCATGCTACACCCTTTACGTGTTGGCGGCGTTATTAATTTTCTTTGCCGGGCAGGATTTATGGTGGCATCGTGAATGTTGTAGTCACAAGGGAAATCAAAGAAATGCATCTTCTCACATCTGTGTGGCAGATGCACTACCAAATTCGAAGTCACACAAAGCCATCGTAAATATTTCTTGATTCTTGCGCTGAGAAAAATCACTCAGTGCTGCAGTGCATGCAGTGGTTAGACACAGGTTTGTTTCCCTGTGCAGCTGTGCGCTACTGTAATCTCAGCTTTGTCTCAGGGTAGAGTCTTTACTATCAAAGCTGCACAGCAGGATACGTAGATGATCAACAGAGAACATCTGACAGTCAGCCAGCTCACAAAGAGTGTATCTATTACATGATGGTACTGAGTTGCACCTCTGCGCTCCCTGCAGGGGTACACAGTGGATTAATCTTTTTTAAAAAACAATGATGCTTTTAGCTAAGTGTTGCCAGCAATTTTTTTTTGTGAGTGTTGCATTCAGCAGTGTTATCACAAAATCAACAGAGTGATTTTGTATTTATTGTATTTGCTGCTTATTTTCTCTGTCTGCCTTGGCACCTTCCACATGTAAAACTCAGAAGGATAACATCTGCCAACAGCAAGGCAAGGCCATATTCCCAGACATATTCTCTATTTGTATTCTTGGTAAATAATGGTTTTAGACTCACAGTGAAAGACTTGTCTTGCTGGTATCTTTTGTTACCCTCTATGCAAGGTTCTTTAGAGCACAAAGAACAGACATCTTTGCTTTGCTTTGCCTGTATGGACAGCATAATAAAATATCTGTAAAGTGCACCATCTTCCTGGTGTTTGGAGTTAGGGATAGGTACTGTATTCCCTTTCATACTGATGCCAAATGTGAGTTTGTGTACCATCAGTATGCCCTTGAATGATAGGGGGATGAGTTTTAAACTTGTGAGCGTGTGTCATCTTCATACAGGTTCTCAGCCAGGAATCCATAAAAAATGATTTTCTTCTTTTGCAGTAACTCACACAATGGTAAAAACCAAAGTTTAGGAGTTCCTTATTGACTTATACGAGGCATATATTGTGATTTAAATATCACTGCAAACTTTCAGAAAATCCAATACAATGTGCAGTCATAGTTGGATCCAAAGCAAATTGTTTTTCTGTCACACAAAGTCTGAATAGCACTGCAGGGTTTCCCAGTTTTTGCTGTTCTGCCTTTTTCATTCACATTTTTATGAGTGCAAACCCACTTTTTTGTATTCACCTTGCACCATCATCTAAAATTTCAGTTAATGGCTTCTCTGCAAACTCCACTTCAGAGCTTTATCGGCTGCCACATCAATCATTGACTTTCTAATTCAATTGGCATTCGTGTTAGAGTTGTCGCTGCAAAAGGGTTTCTAATCCAACCTGACTACCTGCTTCTCACTGAAAATACTCATGAAACTGCACGTGTATTCTGCTGAAGTGAGCCCTGACGACAAGCTGCTCGCCAGCTTTCGACATATTGTTTTTGCTCTGGAACTCATCCAGTAATGGGAAGGCATCATTGCCCTAGTGAACTACAACAACCGTTTTCTGATCCATCCATCAGTTTTAAAAGATAGGGTCTGAAGTCCTGCATTCAGGTCATGAAATCTGGATAAAAAGGAGTCAGCAAGGAGTCAGGCTATGTCTTTAGACTAGCTACACTGATGCAATAACAATGTTTATCTCAGGAGTCCCAGTTAAGAAGCACTGATCCAGGGAAAAAAAAGAAACTGGGAGCAATGACAAAGGTTACATCTTCGGGTCATGAATAAAACTCTTCTTTTCTAAATATTTAACACTTTATGGGGCCAGAACATCGGCTGCTTTCAGTCACTGGAGTTTAAACTGCTGTAGCTCTTCCTAAAGGAGGTCCAGGATTTTCTTTCAGATCCCATGAAGAGCTTTTGTAGCCTGCCAAAAAGAGGTCAGAAAGACTTTTTAACAGAAACTCAGAGCCGGTTGAATAAAAGCCAGGTGCACCTTTGAAACGGATGTATTTTGGTCAGCCACAGGGAGCAGCTAATTGAGGTGTATGTTTAGTTTGTGTCTGGACAAGATCTTCACGGTTCGAGGGATAACAATTGAGGATCAGTGATGTGAAAAACCAATTAAGCCCTCTGCCACAGAAAGGTTGTGGCCAGATTAGGCAGTAGGACTTTATTTGTTCTATTATTACAATTATAATAATTATTATTGTAAGAGATTGAATGTGCACAGGGGAAAAAATGTTCTGATATCCTAGCTGAGCCTAGCTGTAGGGGCTTCAGAAATAAAGGACATCGGTCTTCTGATGTGCAATTTTTTATCTGATCCTCCCCCAAATATTTTTAGACATATTGCCTAGATAGAAAAAACAATGCAATTCAGTGTGCGAAATATTTGCCTTCACTTATCATTTCAGTAAGAGAAAATCCAAAAATCTACCCAGTAGAAGGGTTAGCACTATTGTGAAGTGTAAATGGGACAAAATATGCAAAAACAGTGGTATGTGAGCCATATTGTAAAAAACGGATGTTCTTCACTCTGTTAATAATGAAAGCAGTAGTTCTCAATGCACTCACAGAGCAATAATAGTCTTCTTTCACCAGTTCTGTTCTAATGGTCGGCTTGTGGTGATTATTCATGCTTAAAATGTCAGACAGGCTTGTGCTCCATCCAGACTTCCCTCCAACACAAAACATGTTTCAAAACTGTTATTTTCCAAGGGAAACATGTATTAGCTGCATTTTATAGTTGGCACTGCACAACCTAATTTTGGTTCCAACTGGCATCATTTCTGCTTTAAACTTCCAGCTCACACAGGCTTGATCTTTGGCAACTAGATGCTGGCTATTGAGTGTGTTTGAAAAACAGTGGCAGGGCTGGTAATTCTGAACACTGAAGATGCTAAAATGATTTATTTTATGACACAAACTTTAAAAGGAGTAGGCAAGTGACTATTGGTCTGTTCGAGTTGTCATCTTTTGTCATGCGCCATGGGTTGTTGAGCTGGGGTTGTGACTTTTTCGGATGTTTTGAGTTTTCTGTAAGTTCTTGATTTGCTTCTTCGGATTTCGAGATGTAGTGTATGTTCTAGCTTTATATCTAGTTCTTTCAGTATAATATTTCTTTTGTTTCCTTTGCAACATTTAGTTATCATCTGTTGTGATCCCCTTCTGTCTCCCTAGTCATGCTCCCATGTGCATGTGCTCTATCTCTATTCCCTATACTGATGCCCTGTCAGTGTTAACACATTTTTATTCACAAAGCAGTAACAAACTGTATAGCTGTTAAACTCGCCACACTTCCTCTAAACCTCCTTCAGTGTGGATGTTCTTATCATTTTGATCAAGGTTGTGGTTGGTCAAAACATATGTTTTTTCCTAATATATGATCTAGATGCATCAAATGTTCATCATATGAAGCAATCCAATCAACAATCTACAACATCAATGTTTTCCAAAGGAAGTTGCTGTCTTGCTTGTATTGGTGATCATCGGGCACATTTTACTGATGTACCATTGATAACAGGCCACTGAAGTGCATGCGCTAATCTATTCCAATATCAAGTCTGTGCATTTCATTTTGAAAACTTTTAAACAGTTTTCACAAGTGATTTAAAGCTATTGTACTTGGGAAAATGCAGATAGTCTATTTTAAATAACTTGGTATCGAGTTGCAATAAGGACAAATGGCTTAAATCGTCATATTTTTGTAGTTTTAAGGTTCATTATTATTATTATTATTATTATTATTATTATTATTATTATTATTATTATTATTATTATTGTTTCTAGCAGTGAGGAATTCAAGCCGTGCAAAATTGTATCATCCCATTGGCAGATTTGTATTTATTTATTTACTTTTTAAAGTCTAAGATCAATTTGATTGTATAAAAGATTATTTGGCTTATATCCATTAGGACATTATTTTTTTGCATTGCATGACTTGATAAACCTCAGCAGGTGAGGCGGCCGTCCTCTCTGTGGGCCTAACACCAGTTGAGGTTTCTAATGTCACTGATAATTATGCGCCTCGTGAATCCAGTGAATAATCTGTGAGACAGGCTGGAAAACCACTTTGTATGGTAACTGGGGAGCTTCCTGTGTCCACAGAAAGTCCACAGCGAGTTTCAGCTCCCATCTCATCTCTTCTTGTCTTTAAGGAGTTCATATATTTTAGTTGAACACATTTGTTGAATGCACCTGTTAGTTGTGCCGGCAGCAGGGCAGTTTAGCATCGTTGTGATCGTGTGTCTGTGCACCTGCATTCGTCCACAGGGGTTGACTTGGAAAACACAACTCCAGTTGTTTTTCTCTGTGAATAAAGTTGAAATGTGAAGATTAAAGCTGCTGTTTCATGTCAAACAACTGCCACAGCTGCTGTTCCCTGCATAAAATTCCTTATGTAGATGAGTTGGTGAAGTCGTACTTAAGAATCGGTTTTAGCAACAAGGAAATGAATTCTCTTTTAGCACACAACATGGTGAGAAGTGTAAAGATGTTAAAGAGATGGTGCAACAAGAGACAAACAAACAAACTTGGAAGAGTTGGTTGGATTTATGCAAAATGATGTAGCTGGCAATGGACAGATACAAGGATACTGAGGGTTACATCCTCTTGCAGTGAACGGGAGGTATGTCGTATCACAAGCAGAAAATGAAAGCTGATCAAGTTGTTTCACTAACTCATCTACGCAAGGTATTTTGTACACGGTGGCTGTTTAAAACTTTAATCACCACTTTTAGATTTTTTTCTCAAAATTTTGACTTTATCCTAAAAATAATAAACAATCATAATAACAATAATGGACAAAAAAACCCTTCAATTCTTTTTATTTAACTTAATCTGCCCCTAATACTACCACACACCCACCTGTCTCTGCTTCCCCTTCCTCCTTTCCTTTTAACTGTCTTTTTTTTCATAATAGTAATCCCGGGAAGTGAATCCGTCTATCAGATTAACCCTTTGGACTTTTCTTTAAAGGATTCTATTCAAGCACATGAGTGGACAGATCATGCTTCAGACTTCTTTTGTTCACATATGAAAATGTGTGTTTAGTTTATCTTATTTTGAATGAACATTACAAAGTGCTGTCATCCTTTGTCCTTTCAGTGCATTGTGTGTGCCAGACAGTTGCTATTCCCTGAGCTAATTCTTAAACAGATGTTGTTCCCATGCCTTCTGGAAATTAATTCATGCAGCACCCGTATTACAGCTTTATTTGTAAAGACATACCAAAAGCTGATATTACTGGAAAAACTGAGCCACTTAAATATGGGAAATATGATCGTAATAGCCAATACGGATGATTTTCTTCCACATTTGTCTAAAAGAATAGCACAAACAGCAGCATAATGGGACTGCAGTCATATGAACTATTTTCTCTGATTCAAGATGCTGGTCTAGTATTTCACCAGCATGCACTTTATTTTGCTGACAGATTCAATACTGGTTTGTACCCTTGCTGTTCACTGCATTGGCAGAGTGTGTGTGTGTGTGTGTGTGTGTGTGTGTGTGTGTGTGTGTGTGTGTGTGTGTGTATCTACTGTAAGTTCATGCTTTACCCTGGATTTTAATGATCTTTAGAGTGTGTTTGCAACAATCCACAAAAATGCACGGGCGTTCTGTTTCTCTCTAAAGGTACTTAACCTTTTAAAAGTATTTCAAATGCATGAACACTCTAGTTTATTAGTGTTTGTATAGTTGTCTTACAGAACCAGGCTTCTCTTTCTGCAGTGCCACCCTGCTATGTGCCTAAACTTATCCTATCATAGCTTCTTTACCTTTAGACCTCCTTTTGTTCTTATATTCTCAACCTTTACTGTTCATAATACCAGCTATCTTTCTTTCCCATTTCCTCCTCCTCACTTTACCTCCTACATGACTCTAATTCCTCTTATTTGTCACTCATATCCTTTTTGCTCTTATGTTTCTTGTTACTCTAACATCCTCCTCTTCTGCTCTCTCTTTCCTTTAGGAGCTGCTTTTCAGTGTATGTGCCCTTAACGTCATCTCCACCATTGTGTGTGCTCTAGCCACTGCAATGTGCTGTATGCAGATGGTCTCGACTGATGTGCTGCAGATGGTGAGTGTGATCGAAGTGCAGACGGCAACGGTAGCTGAATTAACTCTCTCTTCAGTGACCACCCTGCAGTTAAAAACATGCATTTTTTTCATGCTTTCATCAGGGCATGCGGCACATTGCTGCAGATTTGATCTGTTTTAGGATGGTAGGGACTGTTTTAATCAGAACTAACATGGTCAAAATCATCTGATTTGCACACCAAAAGCAGTTATTTCATTCCTTTAAACACATCAACTTTTTTTATATAGTGCTAAATCAGTACAGGAGGCACCTCAAAGGCGATTTATGGTGTAAGGTAAAGACCCTACCGAAAGATTAAAGGAGTCTCAATATTAAAACTGGTGCTTTCACCCGTATGTGACATTTTACCGTGAACTTTGCAAGGTTTGAAGAAATTAGAAGTGTTATTGCAAAAAAATATGATCATAAAAATTTACTTTATGCAAACATGATATTATTTTACTTTGTTTTTTTTTATCTATTTTATAAAATGTAACAAATAGCGAGACAAAGACACAAAATGTATTGATGAGTACCAATTAGCTCTCATATTTATTCTGATTAAACAAGGGAAATTAATAACAAAGGACATGAATACATTTAATATAGGCTGTTTGAATTATACAGCATTTAAGAATGTAAATGGAGGAGGAAAATCATTCACAGTTTGAATTAATGCCTTAAATCAGAGCACACCCTGCTTCAGTGCTCAGCATAATATGTCTGATGAGCAGACATAGATCTTCCTCAGACTTCTTTGTATGGAGAAGTGTAGATATAAATGCATTTTGGTGCTAATGCCTTTTGTTGCTACAGTCTAATAACAAATCAATCATGAATCAGTCAGGAGAATTTTAACCTTATTGTTGGTTCAGCTGAATATGCCGTGCAGGAGTTAGATAACTATATGACAGTAGGAAATTATACTGTTTGATAAGAGCAAACACTAAAGCAGGAAAGCCTCTATAAATTAAAGCGGCTGCTGAACATCATGACTTCTAAGTATTGATTCACAGAGAAGCAAAGGACAAAAAAAGCACTGTCTTATCTCCACCAGTCGAGTTTCCAAGAATGGCCTCGTTTCCCATTTGCTACAAAGGGTGTCAACCTTTTGTTTAGCTCAGTAAATTTAGCCGAGTCAATAGCAGCGGCGGCAGCCTGGAGATTAGAAAAGCAGGTTGACTGTGACTGGAAAGTTGTCCCACTTAGAAAAGGCTGAGTAAAGAGCCTTCGAAAAGAAGCTGGCCCCATGCACGGCACTTGCATCAGTTAGACCGTGTTCAGAGATCTGAATACATGTTAGTGACATACTGTGTTGTAAGCCACCGCCACTGTTCAAGGATGGTTGTTCACAGTGGTCATAGATGGCTTCTTCGACCATCTGTCGTCTCTGTCCAAAATGTGAACACTGGGATCTATTCACATTTTGGACATAGATCAGTAGTCCTCTTAAGCGACAGCTCCTAGTAGGACTTAAATACCTGGGACTCTCCTCCATTTGGTCTTAGAACTGAAGAAGCTTCTCAGATGAGAGGTGAAACCTCTTCAAGAAACTTAAAGAAGTCCAGTTGCTTTTCTTTCCAAGCTTACTCTGACTGAGAACCTACAAAGACAACTTGATAATGCCTCTTTGTTTAAAATGTTGCTGCTTTCAGTTTATGCCACACAGAGCTCGAGCCCTGAACGCTGACTGTATGACCCCCCACGGAACAATCCTCCACCAAACACTGGACTTTGATGAGTTTATTCCTCCCATTCCCCCACCGCCATACTACCCCCCAGAGTACACCTGTACCCCCTCAATGGATGGACAGAGGTGAGAAGCAAAGCAGTTTTGATCAGCATCGCATTTTTAACTATAGATACTTTCAAAGTTCACATATTAAAAATGCAGTCTACAGTATTCACAACAGCTTACGTTTTCTTTGTAATTCATAATAAATACTACGTTATTAACCAAAAACTCAATGGTACTTAATCTGGGTTCATTTTTCTATGACACTTGACACTTAACGATCTAAAGCCACCACTTTACATCTTTGTGCAACTGTCAAAGAGTTACATAAAAATTGCAGTGTAATCCAAAAAAGCATAACTCGTTACATTAAGTGGAACACAAACTACAAGTTAATGGCACTCATTTTAGGCTACAGACAAATGAAGAATATAGCTGTAAATATTATTTATTTTGAAGCATTGGGCATCCTCCCAGAGGGCAGCGATTCAAATTGGGTATCAAGTAGCTGTATGTTCTCTTTAAAAAGACATTAGGGATTATTTCTGAGGTTTTATTTATATTATATAATCTATTCAATGAAAAGAATTGCTTACGGTCATTATTTTGCAGTCTAGTCCTTATGCCTAACCATTTGCAGAGGAATTTTTTGTTTGTTTAGCCATTTAAAACTGACATATGAATCATTCAAGCATAAAAAGGCACCTAACTCAAGGGATGAACCAGTGTTGTGTCTGCACATAACAGACAACTTAGCAAAGAACCAATTTTAATTTGTATCTTTAGGCATTTTATGCTAGCAGTCTGTTGCAAAAACACAGAATTTGTTCCCAATTCTTTCGATAGGAAACCTAGTATAACACAGTTTGACAGCAATCAAATACTAGTTTTGCACAAACGGCTTCACAGAGAGCTATTAGAGAGAAACTTTATTAATCTATTAGCTAAAAATCAACATATCTCAGCATGGTGTGGAGTGTATCCTTAAAAAATCTTTCTATAGCAGATGAACAGCATCTGAAAGTCATGTCCATAAGAAATGTCAAGAAGCCATTCTTAAGGAAGGGAAACGAGGAACAATCACTGAGCTGTACCAAATTACACAAAAAGTGGATTGAATACAGCAGGTCTTAAGTAGCGATGACTTCAAATGCATAATTTTTGGTTAAAATAAACATCAGCATTTATGGAGGAGGGCAGGAGAGAGATGCAGCAGTGAGTGTCTACAGCTATCTGTAAAACACAGCCAGTTGTATTGAGCAGTGTGTTGATGGAATTATGAACACAGCCCAGATCTCAACATTGTTGAAGTGTGGCATCTTCTTATGATCAAATGAAACAAAAGGCAGCCAACATCCAAAAAAGAGCTTTGAATGTCCTTCAAGAAGCCCGGAGAACTATGCATGAACACAACCACAAGAGATTACTAGAAACCTTACTTAAGATAGTTCAGGCTGAGTTAAAGAACAAAGATGGCCATACCAAAAACTGACTTTGAAGCTCAGTGGAATTCCACAAACTTTGTCTTTGCTTCATACACCATATTTCACTTATGTTTGCACATTTTAATAAACCACGGCACTTATTTCCCATTTTCCTATAAAAATAAAAATAAATTAGATGTGGCTCAACATACATTTCTTCTAGCTTTCAGTTTTTCACAGTAGCACCAACACTCAAGAGTCATTATCTTAAATATTTTTTTAAAATCCTACACAGACTGTGCAGATCTGACTGTGAATCTAAGCGACACTGCACACCCATACATCATGGGAATTACAAGTTCATTGTAGTATAAATGCACACTTGAAACTAGAGAATAAGACCATAAACTCATCAGAAAAGTGTTCAGTGAGGCTGTAGATCAAGCGAGCTGAGGCAAATTTTTCCTGTACTCCTCTATAAAATCAAATCTTTTACAACCAAAGGATTTCCCCCTGCTGGTAAATAAAAAGAAAAACAGATTTGAGGCATTTCGACGTTGACTTTACATTTCAGGAAGGACCAGCTTTTATATACAGACTATGGGATTGTTCTGTATACTCTTGTGCCCCTTCATAAGCACCTATAATAACAAGTTTCACTTATTATTATAGGTGTGAGGTTTTTGGATGTGGAAAGGACACACATCAAAGCGATGCTGCTTAGTTTAGTAGACGCTAAAAGCATAATAACTAATGCATTTTCTTACTGGTATCTGTTTCTAGGTTAAAGACCATTTTCACATTAATATTTAACCTCTACTTCTGTAAATCTCACCAGGATTTCCTATGAGAAAGTAAATATACAGGTGCACGAAGCAGTGTTTGCATGGAAAAGGCAAACCCATCATATTAAGCAGCAACGGCAACATCTCTTCACACGTGTTATTATCAACCACATTGAGCTCAGAGCATTTCTCTCCATTACGAAGCTGTGACCGCGGTACTCAGCTGCAATGGAAGATCATTTGACCCCCTCCCTCACCACCATCTCCATTTTCTAAGCCTTTGCAGAGAGAGCGGTGCTGTTGTGGCCATTTGGCAGGAAGCCTCATCTGTTTGTCAGTTATCCCATAAATATATACAAGGCAACGGAAGCATTTATAGCATCCATGCTCAGGGCCAGGGATGTGTCATGACATCATTATGCATTGAATGACTGGTGGAAACACTCAGGTTGTATTTCATGCTCTGCCACTTTAGAGGAGAATGGGGTTGTAATTAAAAGATATGACAGCACGCATGGCTGCTCATTCTTAATTGGTACCATATGAAACATAGTGCTGCACGCCGAATAATACAGCGCCGATATATATTGTTAGGACTGGAGTGTAGGAGACAAGAGGATCGCTTTCATCCATTCCTTCTTAAGGCTTTTATAGACAATACCATATGTTTGACTTGGATATTCACGCTGGCGGTGACAGTTTCTTAAACACAACACTGTGCGACTGTCTCAGAGCACTCTCTCTTTGTATTCCAAGTATCCAAGAATAGTTTTGTTGTTTATTTAATCATTCCTCGGCACATGTTTTCTGGTTGTCTTCGTTTGTCCATTTCAAGATCTCATGAACACCTTCCGGGAATTTCAGTTACACTTTGCTGGTCAAAGCTCATTGCCATTTCTTCTTCTTCTTCTTTCGACCGCTCCCTTTAGGGGTTGCCACACCAGATCATCGGCCTCCATTTCGCCCTGTTCCTACCATCCTCCTCTGTCACGCCAACGGTCTGCATGTCCTCTTTCGCTACATCCACTGCGATCTCCAAAAAAACATTTTCTCAAGTAGTCATACTCTAATTGTGACAACATTTCACAGGAGTTTTCATTAGAATAAAAGTTTTAAATGATGAGCTGTTATATATCCAAAAGGTCAGAGGTCATAGTCTCTATGACATCCTCTATAAACTCTTTTCTGCCCAGAGCAGTGGGATATTGTGTGGACATATTTCACAGCTGGTCAGTGTTCACATGCATACTGTATATTACCCTAAGACAAAGGTGTTAACTGCAGCTTTATCAGTCAGTGGACAATTATATTTATTAGGCATTCTTTGTATTTTATTATTTGGGTTGTTTGATTGACTCTTTGCTTTTCTGTCCCTTACAGAGGCTTGCATCTGGACTTTCCCCATTCTCCCTTCAGTGCCATATATGGGGTTCCTATCAACAGCCCAGGCACCCTGTACCCAACTGACCTGCCCCCTCCATATGAGTCTGTGGTGGGTCAAACACCTGCCAGCCAGGTGAGGAAAAACAACACCACATAGGTGCATTTTTATCTGAGGTTCACCAGATTCTAATTATTAATGAATTTTCAGTTTCGTGTTTTCTTTTAGTTGTGCATTCAGTGATGTGAAATGACTTCTTTGTAAAATGTAGCATTTTAGGAAGAGTCAATGTGACAGGTGTAAACTTTTATGCATTCGCTCTCAAAGCCAAGTGGGTTTCAAGGTCAGTGGGAAGATTTTTAGATTAGATGTGTGTTTTTAAGGGTTACAGGCCTTAATAAAATGGTTAGGATTTAATTATGTGTCTACTGTTTTCCACTTCTAATTAATATTTGTTAGAAACATTTGAATGTCATGTCACGTGCAAAATTTAGAAGCCCAAAATCACAACAAATATAAGCTCAGTATCATCCAGCTCCCTCGACTGTCTGGGTGAAGTGATCAGAGCTTTTTTTTTTCTTTGCTGCGTCTCATTGTTCAGCGCTAAAAATAACTTGCTAATGTACGAGTAAATCCTTCTGTTATCTTCTCAACATCGTTTAATCACCCCTCACTTATTCTCTGTGCCATTACAGAGATTAAATCCGCAGTTCTCTTCATACCTATTTTTTTTGTCTTTCAAAGAGGAATCAAAAGAAAGGTCTGCTCGCCTGAAATAGATAAGCTGTCAAAAAGTGACTACAGCCATGCAGCAAATGATTTGATGTGTGAGAAATCATCAGAATCTGATGGTTTCAGCATTGAGATGCCATGAGATCAAAAAAGTTATGTGAACCTATATGTATCATATAATGTACCTCAAAAAGGTCATTAGTGCTTCTAATTAAAGTTCCTATTCAGCTCAACATTATACTGTAATTTTCTGCACTGGTACCCCTGCTCTTTATAGTGACAAATTACTGGTAAGTGTGTTGTGGTCTTGCAGAGCCCTCTACAGACCAACCAGTGGTACTGAAGGTTAGGCGCCACGCAGCTGTTGTGCGATATAGCACACGTCAAATATCCATATTTATTGAGGAGTCCTGTTATGTTTACTAATAATTTCGTCTTCTCAGGTTACCATCAGCATAGAGCAACAGGCCACTGAGTCCAGTCTGTGTGAGAGAAATACTACCGCAGGTCTCAGCACTCAGGGTAAAGACAGTTTGAATATTCACAGTGCTATTTGTTCCTAAATATCTTTTTCCACTGGTGATTGCGCTAATGATGCATTTTTGCAGCCTCAGTGGACAGTGCCTCTCTCATGGTGTCAGAGGTGGCTGACCAGGACCAGACTTGCTCCTCAGAGGACTTGTGCTCCCTGGAGGTCCAGGGCTCTGACTCCTCTCCCTATGGCACGCTCCACACTGCCCCCACTGATGGAAGCTGCACCAGCCTGGAACTTTGTACACGTGATGCCTCACGTTGCCGCCGTGGCTTGACTAACACTGATGCTCGCCCTAGTGATACTGGATACAGTGAGTCCTCACACACGCAGGAGTCGCTGGAGCGCTCACCTGACTGGTCCTCGGAAAACTTTAGCAATCTGGACCAAGAGGACTCAGCAGAGAACACACATCTATGTGATGAACTCAAGACTTCAATGCACATATGCGACGAGCTGGCCTCAGCCAAGCATTTACCAGAGGAGCCACCTAAACCCACACCACACACCCTTATCAAAGCAAGAATGACAAGCCGGAAGCTCACACTACCGGTTACTATCCCCCCGCCACCTCAGCCTTGCTCCCCCACCTCTGTGGCTTCCTCTGGTGGAACTTCAGCTTTCAGCCCTTTGGCTGCTTCCCCTTCCCCTTCACCTCCTGCCAGGCCACGCGGCCCAAGGCTGTGTTTCAGTGTTTGGTCACCTTCCTCTGCATCACAACCCCCCTCTACCTCAGCCCAAAGTGGACACTCACCTTCAGAGAAGCCTCGGGTGCTCCGAGCAGCCAGGAGGTACCGCAAACTGGCACGCATTGTCCGTTCCACCAGTGACCCTATCTCGTGCTCCACTATGACAGGAAGTAAGTGCAGCAAATATGTTACCATTTTACACTGTAAATGGCCTGTAAATGGCCTGTACACTGCAGCTTAATTAGTCCATCTAAGAATCATCATCAATCTTTCACTTCCAGATTCTCCAACATCATTATTTGCTGCATTTTTCTGGGTTTTACATTTAAAATACATTATTTTTTCAGCTTGTTTTTGTCCCCTGTCTACAGGAGAAAATTCTGGGTGCACCCCTGGAACTGATCCTGCTACTGAAGAGTTAGCTCATGCATCACCAGATCAGGGTAAGAGCGTATAAATGATGAATTCATGTGATAGTTAGGGAAACATCAGAAATTTGCACATCTGCTGCTATACAGCACTCTCTATTTTGTGAATCAATGTAACCTGGTTGGCTTACTATAATAAATTAAAATGCATTGTCAGAAAGAAGAAAATAGTGTTGTGTGTAAAGATGATTGCAGCTCATTTAAAACTGGCTTTGGCATTCTCTCAAATGCAATGCAGTCTTGTAAAAGCCATGTTTCTCAAGAAACTACAAGTGGCATTAGCTCTAATTTTAAGAACTGTGTGTGATTTAATGTGGGGGTTTTTTGGTTGTTATTGTTTTATTTTTGCTGCTTTTTCCCCTCCTTAGAGCCAAGGGACAATTCAACAGAGGTAGTTGGAGGTAAACCCACACATATGTCTGCCAGGAAGCAGCAGAAAGAGGGCAAGAAAGTTGACATCCACCTTAAACCCAGATCGCTCCACACACACTCCTCCAACGAACGTCCACACTCCCTGGCTGACCTTAAGATGTACAAAGACACCAAAATACTAGTGGCTAAGTTCCTGGAGCACTCGAGCTGCAGTCTACCTCCTGAAGTCCAGCAAGTTGTCAACAACATCAAGTGTGTCATTAAATCGGATGAGAAACACATGGAGGAGGCCATCTTTAGTGCAAATGTCATAGATCAGGTAACCTGAATATATCATGGATAAAAGCCTTTGATAGTTCAGTGCATTTTAGAAATCTGTATACCTTCTGGCTTTGGTCATTAGTGGTGAAAAAAAAATCATTAAACTGGACCAGCTTAGCAGTGTTTTACAAGCTTTTTACACCAAAACCAAACATACAGGGATGAAAATCAGGAAGACATTTTGGATTGGCTCAATCAGCATTTTTCTATTTTGAACACAATATTGTTATTATTGTTATTATTATTATTGTGGTGAAAACATTTCAAATATTTCAAAATAATAATAATAATAAAGAGCATGTGCATTAAATTTGGAAAAGAAATTCCTATTAATCAATTTTATTTTCAGTACTGCTATTTCAAAGGGTTTATCAGTTTGAATCATGTGTTAAAAATAGTCATTTGCTATTGGATAAGTACCTCTGCATAATTTGTAACTTAGAAACATCTGGAGACTTCAAAAAGATACATAACTGAATTTCATCTGTATTGAAGAGATATGAAATGTCTCAAAATGCCTCTGTTATGTGTCTGTCACTGACTCTTGGTGGTTTGTGCTCAAAGGTGATGACCCAGCGCATCATAGGCAGTCCCAGAAAGCGTGGGCATGAGGATCTTCATCTCCAGAGCTGCGGCGCTTTGAGTTCATCACCATCCCCTTCCATGCGCCGTCCAAAACATCTCCCACAAACATCCACTGCCTGCACCAATCCACTGCGTTCCCCCTCCTCTGAACAAAGCCTTGAGTGCAGAGAAACTATTCTCTGACCACTCTCCTAACAAGGACTTGGGTCTAAACTCTGACGGCATTCCAGGATGCTGGTGTTGCAGACATGCTGCCCTGGGAATCTGATGTCTGTGAAGCACTTAAGAACTCTTTGGGTGTCGTGAGATCGTTTCTTGAACAATGTGACTGCAGCACAAAGCTACTGAAATGCCTTCATACTGTATTCCCTAGTGCCCTGTGAGACTGTGCCAAGTCATCAGCAGAAATGGTAGCAAACTCAGAATGAGCCTACCAGTGTCTGTAGTGGCTTATTTCTCATCAGAAAAACAAAAGAATGTTTCTCCCTCAGGGGATCTTTTCTACTCAGTTTCATCTCTTAAAAAAAGACACAAATACGCAGCTGGTAAGTTTGGATCTGTGACTGAAAGACAAAGCAGATTGTGTAATCAGTATTCCTCTTGTCCTCATAAGAAACAGAGAAAATACATGTTTGTATTAAACTGTGAACTGAATTGACAGGACATTGTTTGCAGACTTTGTGGATTTGTTACTGATAGGGTGGTGACTATTTTGTGGTTCAAGAACATCACAGATGTGGATTATTTAACTTACCTCATTGTGTTACAATTCTTATCTGTGTTACAATAAAATATGCGTTTGTATTTTGTTGTTTGTGGGGGTTTTTTCTGTCTTACTAGATTATTTATATTTGTCTGCAGGTATTCACATTTTGGCTTTGAAAAGGAGTGGTTAAAGTAATGAAAACGCCAGGTAATGCAATTACCTGGCATGAATTGCAGTTTGGTGAAGCTGTTCCAGGTAGTGTTGTTTCATAACCAGTAATTGTCTGTGAAGGTTCTCAGTCATCCAGGTCATCGTAGTCAAAGGAGCTTGCAAAGTAAAGCGTCTGGACTTCTTTAAGTTACTTGAAGACGTTTCACCTCTCATCCGAGAAGCTTCTTCAGTTCTGAGGTCAAATGGTGGAGAGTCCCAGATATAAACCTAGTGGGAGTAACCCCCCACAGAGGGACAAAAGGACCCCCTGATGATCCTCTAATCGCCTGAGCCAAGGTGTGAAACTGGGTGTGGGTCCCAATCAGCCAGAGTTTCGGGTGCGTTCATTGTGAAACCTGGCCCCACCTTATCATGCGAATTCCTGAGATCAGATGGCCCAGGATGTGAGTGGGCGTTAAGGAGTAATTCATTTTCCTTGAATGACTATTATTTTTGTTTTTTTTAACACCTGGAAAAATAACCAAAAGTACTTCCAGCAACTAGACCAAAGTTAGACAGTTTTTGTGACTGATATATACCAACTTTCTCATTACTGAGCTGTAATTTAGCAGCATTGAAGTCACACAGTCAATTTTGTATTTACTTGGTGAATAATTAGCATGGTACGCCTGGACTTTTGAGTTGTTGAGTAATAGAAATGTAGAAATTTCAATAATTTTCATCAGTTTATGGAGATTACATTTTTTATTTACTTTAATTGCGCAAAAAGGAAATATCGCACCGTCTTCTGTGTACTAAAGCCAGATCAATCACTCTTCAAGACCGCCCTGCCTCCGGTCATAACATATGTCCCTGTTTAGTGTTTTAAGGCAGGTTTAATCGCTTTTGTCATGTGGACAATGGTTTAACAGATAATGTAAAACACAAATATATAAAGTATAAACTACAGTCTATAGCGTTCAGATGTGCTAAGAGTTATGAAAGAAATTTAAATACCAATGTAGACTTTTATTTTGAAACGCGCACGTCCGCTGGCAGCGAGCGGAAATTAAAGTGGCTGATTGCAACTTCATGCAGCGCAGACGTGATGTGTGGAAGGCAGTGAATCGTGGACAGTGTATAACAGAAACCCAGTATTCACAGTGGGTTTTTTAAGGTTTAATTGGCTGTATTACGAGATTCAAACCAGTCCTTCGCAATTAAAGACAATGTGTTTCTCTGACAGCAGCCGCTGGTGTTTTCGCGTCTACGGTTGCTAGCTAGCAGTTAATACGAGCTAACGTAACGTCGGGGTCAGAATTCAGGATCAGTAGTAGTCCTGTTTGACGGCGATTTTAGGGATTAGTGGAGTTCCAGACGTCTGTGCGTCCGGTACTGCTCGATTTACCAGAGGGACACAAAATAATTAGCTAAAGGCTAACGTTGTACAGCTAGCTTATATGGTTTATAGCATTCCTCAGTGCCACGGCGCCGTCGTGTCCACGTCTCGTCTGCCAGCTGAGCTAGGCCACGTCCCTGCGGGCGTATTTCACTTACTAACATTGGACGGATTGCAGTGAAGATGCCTAGTGAGCGGAAGGAGGAAGGAGAGCAAAGATCACTAGAAATGTGAAGGTCCTTTAGCGTTCATGACTGTCTGTTAAACGTCTGGACTTCCGAGCACTTGCCGCATATACACGGCATGTCACGTAGACGGATGTGTTTCACACCGGGAGAATAGTCTTCACTGAGCTCGTTGGGTTGCAGTAACAACCTGAAATATCGTTAGACTTTGTTTGGGAAATGGTTGGGTTTGGCGCAAACCGACGGGGAGGTCGCCTCCCGTCCTTCATCTTCATCTTCTTGATGGTGATCATCGTCGTACTGTCTTTCAACTACTGGACAGTGTCCAACAAGCACGGCCGCTTGCTGGATGAGCTGGCGGAGGTGCAGACGCAGGTGAAGCGCACGGACGCGGCGCGGAGCCGGCTGGAGAAGCGGAACTCGGAGCTGATGGTGCAGGTGGACACGCACAGGAAACAGATCGACCAGAAGGATGGGGACTACAGCGTCCTGGAGAGCAAGCTCCAGGCCAAGGATGCTCTCATTAAAAAGTGCACAGATGAAAAGGTACATTTCTCTTTTTGCCTTTGTCTTGGTTTGATCGAGTTAAGTGTCGTTTTTACTGAAATTTAACATTGCAGGTCACGCAAGGTATTAGAGCAGATAAAACATTTCCTGGGTACGGCACAGCATCTATACAGAATCAAGCTTATTCGTCTTTGACCGAGTGTCACTGTAATAATTATGTGTGTTTGGGGGCAAGACTGACTCACTCATTTTTTTAATCTAGAGGTGGGTGTCATGTTCTCAGGAAAAGCAAACAGGAATGACAAGAAGGTTCTTCATTACACCAAATCGGGGGTGTATGGACAAGTATTACTTGTAATACAAGTAGGAAAGGACAATATTTAGCCTCAGTCATATCACCATGTCTAATTTCACCACCTTATCTCATTGTTGTGCTGTAATCTCACCACTTTATATCAGAAAGTGCAAATATCTTATGTACTTACGAGAGGTGAGGCAGGCTGTCTTGAGTATGAGCCACATAGTTTCATCTTCCTCGATTGCTTTCACCTGAATATTTCTCCACCAAGAATATCTTGCTAGAAATCAACAGCTGACAGCTTCCTGAATCAAAAGGGTGTTTATAGGCCTCTTAAACTGTGGTTTTGTAGGTGATTTTCAATTATTTTGTTATTTGAGATGTATTATGTGATGCAGGCTTTGGAGCATACACTGGTGATGTGGTGTGTGCTGTTGGTCCAACTTCAGAGGTGCTTGTGCTAGACAGAGCAGTGTTTCATTCATCTAGAAACAATTCATTTGTGCTCGATTATTTTGGTTTGCACTGTTAATTGTTAGATTTCACTACATTGCTGCCAACTATCTTCCGGTGCATAACAGGGGAAATTACATTCACAAAAGAAAGCAAATTGAATTCAACTTTATTATGTTGTTTCTGTTGCTGATTTGCTCTTTCATTCTATCAGCACATTATTACACGTCTGTGGGGGCATTTATGTATTCACTGTGAAAGGCACATCAAAGCGCGCCACATGGACATTCCCACTTCTTGTCCTGCACAGTTACCCAGCCAGTATTTCACTGGCTTTTATGTCCCAGCACCTTCTGAACTTTTGGTCCGAGTCCAGCCGCCCTGGGAGTGTAATTTGCATCCAGTCTGGCTCGGTTTGATGTTTTTCAAAAGCAAAAGCTTAAAATTGTTTAGCTTATGTTTATCCAGTGTGGATTGTCGCTCTCTGGTTTGACCACAGACAGCAATAAAACAAATGCAGCATTCATGATTTTCAACTAATCGTTTTAACTTCATGCAACCTTATACAATAAAGCAACACATTTATTGCATAGTTACAAGTAAATCTGCAGGATTATCAGGTTGGGTAAGGTTGCGGGTAACATTGCCTTGCTTTGCTCAACATTTATTGATGAGCTGTCCTTAGCCACAACACACAAAACTTTCTCCCAACGTTTGGAGTCAGGTTACTGGTAAAATGTAATTGACCTGCAACATAATACTTATATGATACTTATAAAGGGCTATACATGAACACACTGGCTGAACACATTGTCTAAGCTCCCTTATTTCTTGACTAAATTCCAAGATCCGGCTCTGTGTTTCCTTATTCAGGATAAAGGTAGCCATTAAAGAGTGGTTGTTCTCCTCCTTTCTTCTGTCAACAGACCAACCTTGTTTCAACAGTCTGCCTCACATTGTGAGAAGTGTGTACCACAAAGAAAGTGACGGATAAGTCTGATAAGTGGCTTTCAAACAGAGTCTATAGTTTTGTAAGTTAGGTGCAAGAATGAATTATGGAGCCTTATACTTTTCATTTAGTGTGACCATGTTGTTCTAAAGAGCCAGGCGGCACAGGGAGGCCATTACCCACTTATGAGCGTCTAACAAGCCTTAGTCTTAGAGCAGTTGACATTAATGCTGTATTTCCTGTCCAGTCTTATTGACCTCCTTCTGGCTCAGTCAGTCTGCCCAACTGTTTCAAGAGCTCGAATGCCTAACAATGACAAGTTTTTGGTAGAAAGGCAGATAAAGTATATCCATAAAAATCAGTACAAATCCCGTAGCTCTGCAAATTAATATTTTCAATATGTTGCTTCTATTATTTTCAGAAAATATGGCTAAATATTAATGACAAAATGGTGGGTACATGCATCCTAGTGAGCCTCCAAGATCTTTTTGATGCTTTGGAAAACCTTGCTGCCACCTCAGTTGTATTTATAGAAGTATAACTTCAACTTAACTATAGCTGCTGTTTTTACATTTCATGCTTTGAAATCCATATTTGTAATCTAGTGGGACAGAAAAAATGTAGCTTTTGGGTGTCACTGTGATGTCCAAAGCCTCAAGTTTCCTTCCTTCCCCCTGCTTAACTTTCTTGTTTGGTATTTTACTGCTCTTCATGAGTTTTTGCATGCCATTTATTTTACTAGAACACAAAATAAAGCGCAGCCAGAAGCTTCAGGGTAATGGAGAGACTTTTAAGTTTCACATCATTAATGTTTATTGCGTAGCTGTATTGGATTTTATTATGGTTTACCTGGTGGCAAAGTGTAAATAAAAAAGCCAAAACCAAAAAGGAAAAAAACCTCATAAACTAGCAATAAATGAGCTTTCAGTTTGTGTGCTGGTGCTTTTTTCTTTTCTGTGAAATAAATCCTGAAACATTTTGTAGATTGAGATCACAGAACAGGCGTTGGATCAGTATCGCATGACTCAGAGTACTGGAATAAAGAAAAGGGTTGTACTGACTGCAACCAGTTTTCACTATGAAGCATAACAGGATTAACCTGTTCCCCTCTTTTCATTCGTGCAGCTGTCTGATAATGCAGGAACCTAAACTGGTTTTATCTTTACCATAACTAATACATGTTTTTTTTTCTTTCTTTTAATGTTGCAGATGAAGCTGCAGGATGATGTCACAGCCCAAATGACAGAAATTCAAAGGCTTAAAGGTAAGACTTCAGCCTGTGTTGGCCAACAGAGGGCACTCTGGCAATTCCTTTAACACAGAATATGTAACATACAAAGCAATTTCATATAGCAGTACAAGTCTTTCAATAAACC